TACACAAACAAGCCTCTATTGTGGCAACCGACACACGACTTATAGCTAAACTTAACCTACTTACAAACTAAGGAAGGAGAAATAAAATATAGATAGGGATAGTAGTAGAATAAAGGAGAAAATACCCGGGAGTTTTCTGCCACGTGGTCTCGGATGATTCACCGTCTTGAAATTCTTAATGACTGCAGACCTTATTTTCTTTCCTCTTATGAACGTCTACGTTTTCTGAAGTTGTCTTGTGGTCTTCCCGCTTGCCGTTACTTGAACATGGGGAACTCGATTTCTTTAGCAACTGCCCTACGTTCCTCTATAATTCAGCCGTCTTACAAGGTTCCGATACCTCTGATCTCTCACTATGCGATCAGGGTATGATCCTCCTTCGGTTTTCTATCGCAAGGTTTCTTACTTCTTGCTCGACCCCTCGGTCAGGACCACACTCGTTTTCGTCCTCTCTCGACGAAATCGCAGCCGCTTCTCTTTTTCTTTCACTTCGCCTCCTCTCCAGGGGGTTATTGCTCCTTTTGTCTTCTTGACATTGTTTCACAGAATCGGTGATGACACCCGAGGGAATAGGGATTAAGGGAGAAAGTTCTAGAACAGTTAAGACAAAAGAACAGAGGAGATACTAAGCCTAACTAAAATTAACAAAAATATATATAAAACTATGGTCGACGGCCACAGTAGCATTATGAAACTGCCTTATGCATGTCTCCTCTGCACCCATTTAATGTTCACTGATCATAAATTATAGCAGTTTGTCTTGTATAATTTTAAGTATTATAACATTTTTATATTAATACCAACAGTACAATAATTATCTTATTTGTACGATTATTTCGGGCATTGTACGAACATGGGCTTAATCTATCAATATTTAGTTAATATTTAGTTATTAATCTATTTAATTATTATTATTTCTAATTATTCTGTTAGTTTTTCTACTCCCTCTTTGGATGTCACATTATGCTTTACTGTACTTTTCATTTTTGCCCCCTAAATTCCAGTCAGATGGCCGAGCGGTTAAGGTGGCAACCTACCGCTCTGAGGGACCTGGGATCGAATCCGGATGGGTAGAAAACTCTCCAGAAATTTTTCGGGGGTGGTCCGTCCCTCACCATCCGCCCGCCCATTGTAGACCTGGTCGAACCCATAATGGGCTTGCTATAAGAGGCCCTCCTAGTGCCCACAGAGCGGAAAGCGTTATAAAAAAAAAAGTTGTAATGCACCCGGAATCCTCAGGGAGGTATTTTTACAGGTTTTTTTCACTCCCAAATATGTAAGGCTTCACTGTTTCTCATCCTCCGGCCTAATGATTCTTTCACTCATTGTGGACTTGGCCAAACACACGATGGGCATGGAAAAGAACCTCGTTTTGTCCACGTTTCGTTATGGCAACGCAACACTGGGGATGCTTAGGGGAGATGACTACCGGGAGATCTTTTTAAGGGAAATTGGCCCTATTTAGGCGTTACAGCCGTGGAGAAAAACCGGAAAACTCCAAGTAGCCAGCCCGTCCGAGCGAGACGCGAACCCATGATCGAACCCCCCAGTGTTCAGGAAACTAAGACCGCTTGGCCACTGGTGGGCCGCTTATTGTCCACGCTGGAAAGAGTTGTTATTAAAAATACTCTAATACTGTCTGTAAAATATAAACAAGGAAAAAATATCTTATTAATTGTTACTTTATACAGCAGGATATTTATAATAACAAATGCAGGGATTTGCGTATATAATAACAATTAAAAAAAAAAATTCAACGGCCGTTAGAGGGCAGTAAAGTGTGATTAGAAATGAACGACGAATGTGATTGAAACTCCCAAGAGCTAGTACTTGTTTGTAGTTTTTCCTTATTTTAAATATTAGTTAAAATGAGCGACAGTGAAGCAAAAGGATTCCAATATCTTCGGGAAGCAGAAGAAAAGTTAAAATCCAGTCGAACGTTTTTTGGTTCGTTATTTGGGTATGACCTTTAAATTTTATCTCGATTTTTATATTCTCTCAAATGCTCCATATATAATCACCATACAATACAATATAATGTAAATTTAATCGTCATTTATTCAAGGAAAGTTTACAGTTATTAATCATACTTAGGTATACCCATACTTATGCTATTAATCATCAGTGGAGTTATTGTTTTATTTTGAGTCATTTTTCATTCAACTTGAAATGATAAATAAATATAAAAGTAATTATATTTTTCAATTGTTATAATTGTTAATTAAATGTATATTTAATTAAACTCCAAATTTCTTGTGAGCATATTTAGAGAGCATAAGGTTTATCTTAATCTTATTAACAAATTGTGAAAAAGCATTTCTCGAGTTAATTTATCATCAATGACTAAATATTAGAACAGAAACGGTTCAAAAATCAGTTAACCAGCAGTTTTAGGATTATAAATTTGATGTAAAAGACATTAACTTCAAATCAAACTTTGTAATTTCTCAATATGTAAATATACCAAATATGCTTAAAACTGTATTGTATGTTATCGTGGTGATACTATTGTACAAATGCAGAAACGGTTAAGATAGTATTTTTAACCTAAAGATGTGACTGTATTAATGGGCGTATTCGGAAACTGAGTGGTGATGGGATTGCTTTGAAAATTGGTGTCCATATTCTTGAATGTTTGGCCCAGAGGAAGACTTGTAGTACATTGTGCCATAATAAAAATGGCATTCATTAGTATGTTAACTGCCACGTTTGTATTGGCAAGAGAGATTTTCAGATAGAATTTTACTAATACAACCTATAATGGACAATGATTTGAATAAATCAATAGTACTAGCAATACAATGTTTAAAGGAAAAAATCAATAATTGTACAGATACAGTTAACTTGTATAGTACTTTATGTTGGATTTCAAATTGCATTTTAGAATGAGAAACATTTGAGATAAATGTTAGTGATGATAAAAATATAATCAATAGTTAAATCAGAAATGAGATTATTATATTATATCAACTGTTGTTGTATAAATCAATTCTCTGATGACCAAGTAATCTAATTGGCTTACAGCTAGTGGTTACAGATGATAAATTCTTCACTCAGTAAGTGGCAGAATGCTCACTGAGAGGTCTGAGAAGTGAGCGGCTGAATTGTTCAGTGAGCACTTGGTTTTTAAATTATAGGATGACAAAATAGTCATTGTTCTTTTAAAATAGTAAATTGAGTTATACTATGTAGGCTAGATAATATTATATAAATAATAATAAAAAAAAAACATAACCAATATCACTCATTGTAAATATTTTTATATTCTTCATGAACATGCATCTTATTTTAAGTTTTACATATAAAAAATTATTTACAATCAAGACCTATAAGGTAAAATTATTTCAAAATCAAATTTGTTTAAATTAATCAAATTAATATAATATTTATTAAAGCAAAGTGCAATTCAATACTAAGATTTTTGAAACAAAATAAACTGAACCAATTAGAAAAAAATTAAAGTAATCATTATACAATTAAAAAAATAAATTAATAATAATTAAATCAAATTACAACAGATCAGTAGAAAATTTTTATTTTATTTTTCAACAAGAAGTAATAAGATCCTGATATACTAAAACGAGTGTATACACAAATATTGTGATGTGCTGTACTTAAGGGATCTAATCATACAAGGAGTCGCTCACTGTTTAAGAAGTTTCTTTATTGCCTTGTGGTTTAGTCAAAAATGCATTTTGGGCTCAAGCCTCTCATTAGTTTGACCTGATTTGATCAGTATGTATTCTGTTATCAATGCATATTTGACTAAACCACAAGGCAATAAAGAAACTTCTTAAACAGTAAGTGACTCCTGTATAATTAGATCCCTTAAATATGTAACAATATTTGTGTATACACTTGTTTTATTTCATTTTGTTTTGAAAGCATTTTCATTTTTTATTGATCGTTGTTTGTTGCATACAGTCAACCCCCCTATAACACGGTAGATACGTTCCAGTTTTTATGAATCCAGCTTGTAGGAGACCAGCCAATCACAGCCCAGCACATATGCAGTTTACGGACTACGGCTGTTTGAAAGGTTTCTTCCATAAAATTAATCGATTCTAGACTAATTTGACTCAACATTTCCAAAATACATATAATTTTTTGGGAATAATCCATATAAACTATGCTATAAACAAAAAATTGTAGGATTACTTACCGAGTGTGCACAGTTCGACTATGCCATTGCTTAAGTTTATTTTCGTCGCGGAGATTGTCACCGGATGGTGCTCGCGTGCTTCCTGATAAATTATTTTTTTGCGAAAAATTCTCTGAACTTTAGAGACATCATTAATATAAATATAATTTTTATGGATGTTAAATAATAAATGGTTTTTGGTAGGTCCACTGCTCGTTTAAACTCAACAGTTTGTGCAATCCTGTTGCGACACGAGTTGGCAATGACGTTTTACCAAATTATAGGAGTTTTTTTAGCATGTTTGTACGGATACTGTCACAATTTTTTCGTTGTGATATAGGAATCTGAACTATAGGAACCCGTGTTATAGGGGGGTCTACTGTAATCTTGCAAAAGCATTAATATTTATATTTTTGTTTATTAATGACTACGCTTAAATTCTTGGAACTGCTACAGAAGCAAACAACAACGGACTATAAAATAAAAACACTTACTAACCTGAAGGGCAGTTCAATGCTCATTTGGGAAATTCCCAAACTAATGACGACAATAAAGATCATGATGAAATTTAATCAAAATCTCAATTATTTCAAAAAGTCCATCAATAATAATTGATGGACTTTTTAGTAATAGTTTATTCTATATTCATATAAAATAAAAGTTAACAAACAGTAATCCTGCTTATAGTAGATGATTGTCATCTAATAACAAATTTCATCTAATTATATGTTAATTGTAAAAAATAATTTATCTTCATAAAATAAACCAGAAAAATTGTTACTTATGCATTCATAAAACTTTATTCATTTGAATTTTAACATGTTTCATTTGGCTAATTGTCTTAATTTGCTTGAATATTTGTTCACACACCTCACTTAAGGAATTCAACTCTGTATAAATTATGATAATATTATATTTAGCACATTTTTAAACAATTTATTTTTAAAAATGTCATCAAACTGTTAAACTCTTTGTCTTCAGGGTAATACATTAAAAAAACAAATTAAAATATTAAATTTCAGCAGCAATTCACATCAATGGAAAGGATCTTATTGTTATTATTGTATTGTAATTAAAAGATTTTGTTGCAAGATTAATTAAAACCTTAACCCATCAGTATTAGTTATTACCTAAAAATGATATATCTAAAATTGATTGCACATACTATTGATAACCAATTAGTGATTTATGAGCCAGATCCAACTTACAAGCCATTTCTTATGGCCTGCACAGTATCCCTCCAATAACCAAACAGCTCTACTATTATAAATAACCAGCATAATATCTCATAATTGGAGACAGAGAGTTAATACTTGTGTATATCCATGAATTTGTTTATTTTCAAAGGAATATATAAGACCTGACTTAATTATAGGCATATAATTTTATTACTGAGAAATTTAAATATAGCAGTGAGTATTGCACACTATATTCATGATAAACTTCATATACTTATTCATCTATTTGTGCTAGAAAAAAAGTAAAAATTGTTTCCTAGCTGAAAACCAATAGTTCCAATTTGATTTATGTAGTAGCACCAATCAAGAAATAAAAAGTTCTTTGTCTTGTGTAATTTTTCCATTAGATTATCTTCAAATTAATTCACTTTCTGTTGCAAGAAGGCATCACGAGACTATTGGATTTAACTTCTAAATTTTGGAAACCACAAAGTTCCAGTTAAAAACATAAATTGGTTATATTTTAAAATTATTTTATGTTTATTACAAAATAAATAATAAACTTTGGATATAGCCTAATAATTTCAGTTACTTTTTTTCTTATATCCATTCCTAAGATAACTAAGACCTACAAATTCAAAGTTCTACTCCTTGATAGCATTAATTTCTGGTCCTTAGCCATTTTAAGGTTGGCCATTGCTGAGCTGATTTATATTATTTAAAGATAATAGCTAAACTCTTAAATTTAGCAACATCTAAATCACACACACCCCAAAAGAGCCAGTTAAAAGCAACTATTTTACCATCACAAATGTTTTTATTCATCTAAAATGAACATCATCAGTTAATGGAACATAACCAAACAGAACACTTTTAAACATCAAATTTTAAACCAAGCAGAACATTTTCTCCAAAGAACAAATACAAATTTTAAAATTAATATATAATATATGCTGTTATACTTATTACCAGTTTGACTTAGCATGAATATCCTAAATTAAGGAACATTTTATGTAACCATCTATCATGCTTCATCTAATTAAATAAATTTCAAAAATTTAATCCTAAATCACAGAAGATAGTTTGAATCTCCATGAATAATGATATCTTTCTTCAGTTTGGAAATAGTTATATTTTAAATTTAAGGTTTTTAGAAATTGTTTTCCCAATTAATGAAGATTGTCTTATGTTTATTTTTAGAATTTGTAGTTTAAAACTTGTCTTACATCAGGTTAATCTTATGTTATTTTTATCTAATATTTGATTACTATGTATAATTTGATCATGATGAATATTGTTTTGTTGTAAAGAAGCAGCAGATTTGAAATTTTTTGTTCTATTTTGAGTGTGATTTTGATGATAAGTAATTAGCCTAATACTTAAAAAATGCTTGAACCATTTTTAATACAATTCCTATTCCATTAAAGCATTTCTTTTACTTTATATTTGAAGTATTATTCCTCTTAATGGAGATCTTATTTTCTCTATATATTTTTATTTATATATTGTTATTTTTTAATTTGATTCCACTTTTATTTATTTTTATTCTTTACATAATCTAAAGTCAATTGTAGTTTAAGTATCTAATTATAAAAAATGTAGATTTAATAATTGATAAAGTGATTATTTTACTTATTTTGCAGTGGTTCTACAAAGGTTGAAGAAGCATGTGAACTATACATCCGTGCAGCAAACATGTTTAAAATGGCTAAAAAATGGAATGGTATGATGCAATAAATTTTTAGTTAAAAGTAAAATACATTAGAGCGTCGTTTATCCGAATCAATTGGGGACTGGGGTTGTTCAGATAACTTATTTTTTGGATAACTGATTATGTACGAAAAAATACATTAGCCTATCCCATGTTGAAATTTTTCTCCGTTGCATGTTGCTTTGCGTTGAATTTTCGTTGATGTTAAGCCTAAAGTAAACTTTTTAAAATAATAATCGTGGCTATTGAATCATTAAAAATTATTTCTTTATTTTTTACAAACAAAATAAATATATTGAAAAATATAAAAGCAAAAAAAATTATACTTTAGAAGTTAATCTAGTTAATCTAGTATCAAAAACGTTCGATTCAGCACGACACACAGTCCTCAGAAAAACACCACACAAAAGTGCGAGAGCTTCCAGCTAAAAAACACACATCAACAAAAAAATATTGGAGTAGCCCAAGATATAGCCAAAATTGCAGCGCCACAGCACTAATGAAAATTTTTTACAAACAAAATAAATATATTGAAAAATATAAAAGCAAAAAAAATTATACTTTAGAAGTTAATCTAGTTAATCTAGTATCAAAAACGTTCGATTCAGCACGACACACAGTCCTCAGAAAAACACCACACAAAAGTGTGAGAGCTTCCAGCTAAAAAACACACATCAACAAAAAAATATTGGAGTAGCCCAAGATATAGCCAAAATTGCAGCGCCACAGCACTAATGAAAATTTAAATTTGCCGACTGGAATTCTTTCAGATAAACAATGCTCTACTGTATTTCATTTTTAACATAAAATTTAATAACATTTATTTAATTAATTTTGAAAGCATAATTAAGCTGTATAAACAAAATAATATTATGCATATTGGGCTGCAATTTTCAAAAATTGTGGACTTATATATTCCCACTGGCCTCTGTCTGTTTGTCCTTCCTTAATCTCAAGAATGAGTTAGATAGATGAAAGTCGAGACCGGATATGGAAAACTTAGAGACAGGAAGCCCCAGTTAATTATATATGAACATCTGGTTTGGACTAGAAGTCAGGTTATTTTAATTCAAAAATTTTCTTTTGAACAGAGATAGATAACTAGCATGACTATTTTAACCAGAAAAGTAAATCAGGGGCAAGACAATTCTAAAATTGAAAGCATTGTGACAAAAAATTGCAGCCCGGCATTGTGATGATAAAACAATAAATAATTGTTGTTTTATTATAATTTGAAACTGTGTCATATATATTATGTTTTAGTTTTGTTGTTTATTAATACTAATAGTAATTTTATATTACATAAGAGTATTAGTTTTGATAATTAAATGATACAGCCAGATTATCATCAGGCTGTATTGTTTGATTATTAATAGCTAAATAAATATTAAAATATCAAATAATTTGACCATGATATAGCTCAATAAGAGTCAGGCAGTATCACTTGATTATTAACATACATTAAGTTTGATTTTAGTTGTGAGTATTGGTTCTAATTATCCAAAATCTATGACCATGATTTATATCCAAATGTGATATACCTTATACAGTATAATCTCCGAATAGTAGAGATCATCAGGATCAAGAAGTTTCTCTGCTATTTAGAGGTGTCCACTATTCGGAGGTACTGATGGCTATACTGTATCTTAACCTGGTCATCAAATAGTGAAGAATACAATGGATTACGAAAATATCAAATTTGCATTAGGAATGTGAACATACCAAAAATATACATTGCATATATAATTAAAATATTTATACAATATATTATTTATTTTTTTAGCTGTAAAATCTCGTTTTAATTGAATCTCATTCGAATTTTGAGTTACAAAGGTGATTTGCCATCCACTTCAGTGGGTGGGAAATATATTCAGAATTGTTACATTTATAATGCCATTTATGATCTAAAGTGACTATTAAAATCGATATGGGGATTTGTCTCCTTTGTAGTTATCAAGTAGGTGTAACTTTTTGAACATTTTTGCTTTCTTCAGTAACTAACTTATTAAAAATTACACTTTGGCCACCACAAAGCTGTTAAAATGGTTATGACAACAGTGTTTGTTTGGTGAAATTTCAAAAGTTGTGTTACAAAAGCAATTTGCCAACCACTTTAAAGTGTGGNCATACCAAAAAAAAAATAACTGGTTAATAAACTTAATATTTTTTTAAATATATTTTATCCAATACGTAATAAAGTTATTGTCTTTCATAAGAGTTAGGGCGAATGTATCGAATTTCTATTATAGGAGTCTGTTATTGAACATTAGTTACATGTTGTACTTCATACAGACATTGAACTCTTAAAGTAGCTACTATAATTATTGAGTTATATTTAAATGTATGTGTTTCTATTAAAAGTTATTAGATGATTGTATAGATAACTCATACACTTGCCCAATAGTTATACTATTATAATTTGTTATTCAACTTAGTCATAGTTGTTAACAGAGTGTCTATAGTTTGATGCACCGTTTAATTTCGCTTATTGCTAGAGGTGTTTCACACTTTCATATTCCATTTATACACTAGTTTGGACAATGTTTCAAGTTATCGATACGGTTGACTCTTCTTAATATTCTAAAATTAGTTTTGCTTGGACGAAAACTTCATTTTAATGTTTGAAAAATCTATTTTTGGTTACTTTTTTTTTTTTTAACAAAAAAGTGAGGTTTAAAATAGAATAAGAAATGTAAGGTTTTATATTGAATTGATCAGATGATTGTCTCAGAAAATCTCGAATCATTCAGTCGAGTAATAAAAACCTTCGATGATTTTTCGAGACTTCTCCAAACCGAATAGTTCTCGTACTTGAAAGGATCTTAACGTACCAGTGGATATAAAAATTACTAGGCCTTTACTCCACGACATTAAACTTGTTTCAGAAGGCTACAAAAAGGTCCCGATTGAAGAAATTGTACAGAAGTGAAAGAGAAAATTGTAAATTTTATTCTCTCTTATCTTTGGAGCGAATCATTACTTTTTATACCTTTTGTTTCTTTCTTTAATTTTTATTAATATATTATTTATTTTTTTTGTCTCTTATCTTTGGAGCGAATCATTACTTTTTATACCTTTTGTTTCTTTCTTTAATTTTTATCAATATATTATTTATTTTTTTAGCTGTAAAATCTCGTTTTAATTGAATCTCATTCGAATTTTGAGTTACAAAGGTGATTTGCCATCCACTTCAGTGGGTGGGAAATATATTCAGAATTGTTACATTTATAATGCCATTTATGATCTAAAGTGACTATTAAAATCGATATGGGGATTTGTCTCCTTTGTAGTTATCAAGTAGGTGTAACTTTTTGAACATTTTTGCTTTCTTCAGTAACTAACTTATTAAAAATTACACTTTGGCCACCACAAAGCTGTTAAAATGGTTATGACAACAGTGTTTGTTTGGTGAAATTTCAAAAGTTGTGTTACAAAAGCAATTTGCCAACCACTTTAAAGTGTGGGAAGATATTTGGTTTTCTTGCATTTATGACATAATTTATGATGATAAGTTTTTTTTTTCATTACTGCTGTACTATGGTTCTTACCAAATAAATGACTTTGAAAATGTTTATTGTTTTTTGGTATCATAAGCTTAATTCCAACAATAAGAGAGATTTAATAACATTAAAATGTATAATGATAAATGGTGATTGACAGCATGACCAGATTAAGCTTCTTTAACAGATAAAGAATATTGTTTGACTTTTTATAACACGCCCTCCTCCCTATTCCTATTTTAAGCCAGTCTTTATTTGATGTCTATGGTCAAAATTTGTTATCTGAAAGAGTATTTGAACCAATTCTTTGTTTTTGTTTAAAAATATTTTGTACATAAGTCTTTCAAAATATTGAAGGTGAGCATTGCATTTTCATAAGGTTGGTTACATTCAACAATGTCCATTATTTAGAGGTAAATATAATAGATATCCTGTTTGAAGGGTCTGGGGATTGTAAAAATGTCCATTAAGTAGACGTTGTTCACTATTCGAAAGTGTCCATTATTGGAGGTTTCATTGTAGTGTATATAGGTTTCAGAAATTTTTAAAGTTTTTTTGTTGAAATTTTCAATATATCAACGTGAGTAACCTCATATTGATGTATTGAAAGTTACAATAAAAATAATTTTTCATGGCTTACAGCTTTATCATAAATCCATTGTAAAAAGATGAAATAAATAGCACACTACAATGTTTTATGTTGGTAATTTTCAAGTGTTGAAAAAGAAGCAATCACTTCAAAAGCAGATATTCATTTAGATCAGTTTGAATTAAAAATATAATTTCTAATAATAAGCAGCATTTTATGCAAGTAGTTTACATATCATATGATGATATATATTAGTCCATTTAGTTTTCAAGATTTTCTCTCCTCTTTTAATGATACTTTTTTCATTTTATTGGTGTTATTACTGTTTTACTGGTGTTATTACTATAATGTATATAACTATACTATAATATATATATATTCTAAAAGTAGGTTATATCAAAAGAAGAATATAAGTCTTTGAGTTAAGTATCATTGTGCATTCATAAGTGAGAAAAGAAATTTTTAAAATTTCATGATCATCCTGGTTAATTTTAAAAAGTGAACTTTCAATATGAAAGTTTCAATTAAAAAAATATTTAATGAGGATATTATTGTGGATTGAAATGAGTTTTAGGTCTATAAGATTTTTTGGAAAATAATGTTTGTCATTAAATATTTATTTAAATGCAGTAAAAAAATTATATTTAAAATATGTGAATATAAATTACTACTACTAATATTAATTTAATAACAGTATTCTTGATGATCATATTAAAATACATTACAAAAAAGAAAAAATGTTTTACTTGCTAGCAACTATTATAGTTTATAATATAAATTTTAAAAATCAACATTAACAAGATTATTTAATGTACACAAAGCAATTTTTTACATCATTTTTCTGTTAAGGTAGTTTTAATAATATAACTTTGTTTGAAAGTTATATTATTCAAGGAAAAGCAAGGAAATTTGGGTATGCAGACGATTGCCACAAGACATAAAGACATTGTGATAACTGAGAAGATCCTGACAGAGGATTTATCTACTTTAGGACAATATTTTGGCCAATGGAGATTTTAATTAAGTAAGACAAAAACTGAAGCTACATGCTTTCACCTTAATAACAAATTGGAAAATGAAAAATTAAAGGTTTATTTTGAAAATAATTTACTGAAATATAATAAGAAGCCGAAATATTTTGGTGTCACTTTGGATAGAACTTTGTCATTTAAAACACATCTGATGAATCTTGCTGCCAAGGTCAGTACCAGAAACAACATTCTCCAAAGGTTATGTGGAATTACATGGAGCTCTTTGCTGTCCGCCTTACAGATCTCTGCTCTTGGCTTGGTTTTCTCTGCAGTGGAATACTGTGTACCAATATGGACGAACAGTGCTCACATTAAAAAACAGGATGCCCAACTAAATAATACCCTACGTATCATAACGGATACTCTTAAATCTACTCCTATTGATTGGTTACCTACTTTGAGTCATATCCCCCTGTCTGTACTCCTAAGGAATGATTCTCTGCTCAGGGAATATAGGAAAATATTGTGCAGTCCACAGCTTCTGATTCATGAGGATATTGATTACATCAGCATAAATCGACTTAAATCAAGACACTTCCCCTCTCTTAAGAGCTAAGTCCTTGCATTCCACTAATTTCAACCTTATTGAATCTTGGAAAAGGCTTTGGGCTGACATCTCTCTGGTGGACAGTTGACAGCTTCCTTGTATAACAAAGCGACCACCTGGTTTTGAATTATCCAGAAATCTTTGGAGTGTGTCAAATAGAATTCGGACAAAACATGGGATATGTAGGGACAGTCTTTTTAGGCGGGGAAAAGTTGCATCCCCACAGTGTGATTGTGGGGCTGAAAGACAGACTATATATAATATTTTGGAAGATTGCCCAATCAGATCCTACCTGGGAAAACAGAGTGACTTCCTGATTGTGACTGAATGTGCTCTAAACCAGTGTTTTTCAACCTTCTTGAATAAGCGACCCGTTTAGAAGTTAAAAATTCTGGCGACCCCCCCAGGGTCATATTAAACTATACCAGTGATTTTAAAAACTACGTATTCAATTTTCTTTCTGTTGAGACCTAAATATCGATCAAAAAACCAATTGTACTGTAAAATAAACAGGTACAGCCTTCTCACTGAAATTGTAGTTTTTTTTTATTGTAGTGTTGGACCTACAAACACTTGTCTTTTTCTTTTACCCGCAACCCTCCATGGAAGGCTTTGCGACCCCCATGGGGGTCGCAACCCACAGGTTGAAAAACACTGCTCTAAACTATGTTTCTGACTTAGATTTACATTTATGATTTGTGTTCTTTTTACAAACTAGATATGTAGCCATATGATAAATAAATAAATAATATAAGAAAGGAGAGGTGTACATTTGGTTGTTATTTCATTAGTAATATTTCCTTAAACTTATGAATTATTATTTATTTTTATCAAAAAAATGTAGACTTTCTTCATATTTTACATGTTTTAATACAAAATCTTTAGTATTGTAACAAAGTATCGATTAAAACAAACATTTTTGATTTTCTTTATAAGCTATCTTCAGGTCACATAGAATATTGAGTATCTAATACATTGAATAAATAAAGAATATATGTTGTTTAAAGAATAATATATATTCTTTTCTAAGAACTTATAAAAAAAGAAACAAAATTAATGATGTAAACATATGCAAACAAACTGTTTTATCAATAAAATCAATTTCCATGTTAAGGATAAAATTTAGCAATTTCTTGCATTAATACCTTCATCTCTGATTTCGTTTTTAAATTTCATACAACAACTCTGTGAATTTGAAATGAGGATGATTCCTAATTTTTCTATTACATAAAATGAAAACTAAAATTTTTTTTATTTTATATATATATATTTTTTTTTTTTTAATGTAATAGTTGTTAAAATATAACCAAATCTAGAATATTGTTGCAGACCCTGTTTGAAAACCACTGCTCTAGTGGTTCATATCATGTTATTTATTATTGCTATTGAAATTTAGTTTTCTTTTACTTATTGAATTTCTACATATATTCTTTATAATTCTATGTGTAATTTAACAGTACAGATTAAATTTATATAAAATTTAACAGATTTATCATTGTTTAAGATTGAATTGTTATTGATTTTAAATTATTTTAGCTGCTGGAAATGCCTTTTGTGAAGCTGCTGCCCTACATTTAAAAAGTGGAAGCCGTCATGATGCTGCAACTTGTTACATAGATGCAGGGAATTGTTACAGAAAATCTGAAGCACATGGTAAATTTATTGATACATTTTTATCATGTTTACACCATTTTTTTTTGAGTAAAATTGAAAAAGTATTAAAGAGTAAATAGAAATTGGAATGTAAAATAATTTATCAGGTAAATTATAGTAGTGTCTGGTTATTGAATATTCTCTTTATTATTTCAGTAATTTCATTTATCAAAATATTTTTGATCAGTTTAACTCATTATTTTTAAAATATTTCATTTATGTTTTTTAATACTTTAATCTATTAATATTTACAAAATGATTATATTTTAATGATAATGCTATTATGTTTATAATTTTTTAACATGTATATTTTTTAAAATATAGAAAAATGTTTGTAAACTGGATTTGAATGGTAACAAATTATCTTTCATTTCAGCAAGCTTTAGTATTATCTTCTTTTTTATCTTTAAACTACATCAGATAAATGTCATGCAGTTACATTTATTTTTTAGTAAAATCACTTTTACATACTCAAAAAAGTGTTATTACTAGGCTTAATTTAAAATGATTACAACTAAAGATTAGAATATAGACATCCCATAATAAAATGGTAGCTTCCAAAAATATGTTGTGTTATACAAATCTGTGCTATGTGAAACAAAAGACTAGTGCGAAGCATTGATTAGGTTCCAAAAGTTAACAAAAGTATACTATTCTCTTTTCATAATAAAGAGAAATATGGTTATTAAAACACTCAATAATTAACTATTCCACAATCAAAAGTATTGCACATTAATAATAATTTTTTTATTCACTGCTAAACATCATTAAATGAGGACATTTTTTTAGCAAAATATCATCATCATCTGAGCTTTTTGTTGACCTTAATCTGAAGTATCAACATTATCATGATTTTTCTCTACTTTTTTCTTAAAATCTGATATTTTCATTTGCTTGCATTTTCTTAAGAGATCTTTAAAAATTTAATGTATTAATGTAGTAAATTTAATTTATAAAAACTAAACACAGCAACAGTCTTTTGAATTCATTTAGACCACTATCACCAATGTCAGTGACACCTGGTTTATAGGAAAGCTAGGGCAAGGATAAAGAAAAATTGTGCAATCAGTTCTCATTAAAGAAAACCAGATGAAAAACATGAAATGACAGAAAATTTCAATATTCTAAAACCCATGGGACATATGACACAACATGCATGCTTACTTGAATAAAAAAATATCAAATTATGGTGTTTGTATGGAGCATTTCTCCAATTCTCAAACTGTGTTAGGACAAAACCATGTTGTAGGAATGGTGTGTTGTATGAGGGATACCTGTATTTGGATGCAATTCAGAACAAAATTGCAAAAACTTCTCATTGTTCCCAAGAACTGGTGCTAGAATTGTTATTGTAAAGGGAGGAGATTTGGAGGAAAAGGAATTTAAGAATAAGATAATAGTGTCCATGTAGTTGTTCTATCTATCTATCTGTCTATCTATCCAGTGGCATCCTCTCTACAGAGGATTACATTTGATGAACTATTCCTATCCATGTTTCTCTATTCCAGGCTTCTCTTAAATCCTTTCCAGTCCAGTCTTTGATGTTATCTCTCCAAGTCTTTCAGGGTCTTCCTCTAGGTTTTGTCCCCTCCACCAGTCCCTCAATCACCGTCTTTAGTAGTTGTCCTCCTGATCCTCTAGCCAAATGTCAGCATATCGTACCTTTCTTTGTTGGATATTTATAAGCAACCTTCTCCTCCTTCCTGTGTAGTTGTTCACTCACAGAAAATTGCATCACAAAAGGTATGCCAGTTATTACAGTACAAAATCACTTAACATTTAAAATCTGGAAATCTGATATATTGATGTATTAGAAGTTCATGAATGTTCCAGTGATGATTCAGAGAGTATTCTCAAAAATATTATTGCAAAATCATGTGGGAATGATATTACATCAAATGATGTATCAGCTTATGTGGAACCAGTAATAGTGGAACAGAAAGCAAAACTATCAGTTTGCCCTCATATATATTATAGAACTTGAATGTTATGTATTTGCACATTGTCAACCTTGTTTTTGAGATTTGGGAAGAAATATAAAAGGAACTGACAAAGTCCAGACTGACACATCTTCATAAGTCCCACGTAACAAAATTATTTGGCAAAAAATAAAAACATGTTTACTGTACAAATGAATTGTCTTTAAGTATTTCTCTATTGATTGCAGATTTAAGACAGATTGTTTTTTCAGATGTTAATTTGATCTTAAATAATATACTCAACTGCAGCATATCAGTATGTTTCAATGGAAAGTCATATTGGCATAATTAATATTATGTTTTTGTAGACAAGACATTACAACTACAGTCGACCCCCCCTATAACACTGTTGATTATTCTGTTTTTTATGAATTCCATGTTGTATGAGTCACTTAGATTTTACAAATATGTGTGCCGGGCTGTGAACAACTCACGTATTTGTAAAATCTAAGTGACTCGTACTACATGGAATTCATATAAAACGGAATAATCAACAGTGTTATAGGGGGATCGACTGTAATAGCCTACAAGCTGGTTTAATGATATTTTATTGAACTATGTAACGTGTACAGTATTGTATTACCATGCATTTTCAGTCATTAAATTTTGTGATATTAGAAACTGATGCTTTTTTTTATTATATTTAGCAAGACATAGGTTTAGTAAATGTGGTATGCATGTAGGTATGTACAAGTCTGTAGGAATGCTCAAGCTCTCTAACCTGGTCACCCTTGCTAACCTGGACACTTTGGATGCTCACCACAGGTGTCCAACTTAATGATGTTTTACTGTTATTTAACCAGGGGATATGGTGGAAATGCATCTAAAATGGACTCTTCTCATTTTTGTAATAATAGTTTCCAGATCTCACTAATGACAAATCCTGTATTCAAATTTATTCTGTTTTCATTAATTTTAATAAATTTTCAAATGTTTGAAAAGTTTTCTTTTGATAATTTTTTTCTTTTTTAAGAATTTTAACACTTGAGTGAGATCTTGCAACCTTCTAGAATGCAATTTTTGTAAGATAACTGCAGAGTTGGAATAATTATACTTGACTGCATGTAAATGTTTTCTGATTCTAGTTTTTAATGTTCTAACAATCTCACCTACATAATAATACTTTGGTTGACAGCTACAAGTGAACTTATAAAACAAATTATTATTTAATGTTGTTCTTCTTTTGATTAATTCTTTGGTTTTTAAAAGGCATTGTTATTGTTCAATGTAGGGGCAAGGACAATGTTACATGGTTTCAATAATTTTTGTATTTTTCAAAAATGATGGGAATGCAATCAAGTTTTCTATAAATTCAGTAGAGCATCGATTATCCGACCCCCGATTAACCGTCACTTTGGTTAACTGACCGTTCTAGTCGGCAAATTTTAAATGTCCGCTAGTGATGTGGCGCTACAATATTTGGCTATGTCTTGGCTATTTTAATATTATTTTTGTTAAATTTTTGTGTGTTTTAGCTGGCAACCATGGCTCGACCATTGAAGGGAGGACAGTATTTAAATGAGACTTAATTTTTTAATTATGAGTGGTTGTTTGTTTCATGAGCAATAAAATGATTTAAAAATAATTTTTAACGATACAATAGTGAAGATTATTATTTTTAAAAAAATTTTGTTAGGCTTAGCATCGATGAAAATTAACGCGAAGTTGGTTAATAGCGGTATACTAATATGCTAATTACATGGGATATACTATAGTAATAATGTATTTTTTTCATTCTTTTCGATTATCCGATTTTTCAGTTATCCGACCAACCTGAGTCTCCAATTGAGTTGGATAATCGATGCTCTACTGTAGTTGTGTTTTCCAGTGTTGTTATTAAAAAACCATTTATTGATTATTCTATTATTATATCATTGGTTTTTATCATGCATAGTTCAGCTAGTTTTGAACCAATGCAATTGCCCATAAAGATACGTTCTATTTATATAAAAAACATTGCCATTACATAATAAATGATTATAATCTAAAACACATTCGAGTAAAGGTCTATGTTTAGTAAAAATAAATCAATTTTCTTCATGAGTAGTCAATATTTCTTTAAGATTCAAATTTGTGTGCAACATTATAGAATGCATTGTTTATTGGCCAATTTAATGTTTTTGGACTTTACTTGGAATGTGTTTAAAGAGGTATCTAATTAGAGTTAGTTATGATAACTCTGTACGCATATTACAACAATTAAAAATATCAAGATGATCCAGAATTTGTTTTACAATTGCTGCACAAAAATTTGAATTCTACAGAGATATTGTAATTATACTCATATAGAAATTAAGTGCTAAGTTTTCATTGAATATCATATTCTTGAATTTTCTTGTATAATTTTGTTTTCCATAAAATACACGTTATTAATATCCTACATTTAAGAACTTTTCATAGATTTAGCATAATTGTTTCCCATATTGTATAATTACAGCTTTTTAATTGTCATTTTTTTCAGAGGCAATAAGTTGTTTTCTAAAAGCCATTGAAATCTATAATGCCAGTTATTACAGTACAAAATCACTTAACATTTAAAATCTGGAAATCTGATATATTGATGTATTAGAAGTTCATGAATGTTCCAGTGATGATTCAGAGAGTATTCTCAAAAATATTATTGCAAAATCATGTGGGAATGATATTACATCAAATGATGTATCAGCTTATGTGGAACCAGTAATAGTGGAACAGAAAGCAAAACTATCAGTTTGCCCTCATATATATTATAGAACTTGAATGTTATGTATTTGCACATTGTCAACCTTGTTTTTGAGATTTGGGAAGAAATATAAAAGGAACTGACAAAGTCCAGACTGACACATCTTCATAAGTCCCACGTAACAAAATTATTTGGCAAAAAATAAAAACATGTTTACTGTACAAATGAATTGTCTTTAAGTATTTCTCTATTGATTGCAGATTTAAGACAGATTGTTTTTTCAGATGTTAATTTGATCTTAAATAATATACTCAACTGCAGCATATCAGTATGTTTCAATGGAAAGTCATATTGGCATAATTAATATTATGTTTTTGTAGACAAGACATTACAACTACAGTCGACCCCCCCTATAACACTGTTGATTATTCTGTTTTTTATGAATTCCATGTTGTATGAGTCACTTAGATTTTACAAATATGTGTGCCGGGCTGTGAACAACTCACGTATTTGTAAAATCTAAGTGACTCGTACTACATGGAATTCATATAAAACGGAATAATCAACAGTGTTATAGGGGGATCGACTGTAATAGCCTACAAGCTGGTTTAATGATATTTTATTGAACTATGTAATGTGTACAGTATTGTATTACCATGCATTTTCAGTCATTAAATTTTGTGATATTAGAAACTGATGCTTTTTTTTATTATATTTAGCAAGACATAGGTTTAGTAAATGTGGTATGCATGTAGGTATGTACAAGTCTGTAGGAATGCTCAAGCTCTCTAACCTGGTCACCCTTGCTAACCTGGACACTTTGGATGCTCACCACAGGTGTCCAACTTAATGATGTTTTACTGTTATTTAACCAGGGGATATGGTGGAAATGCATCTAAAATGGACTCTTCTCATTTTTGTAATAATAGTTTCCAGATCTCACTAATGACAAATCCTGTATTCAAATTTATTCTGTTTTCATTAATTTTAATAAATTTTCAAATGTTTGAAAAGTTTTCTTTTGATAATTTTTTTCTTTTTTAAGAATTTTAACACTTGAGTGAGATCTTGCAACCTTCTAGAATGCAATTTTTGTAAGATAACTGCAGAGTTGGAATAATTATACTTGACTGCATGTAAATGTTTTCTGATTCTAGTTTTTAATGTTCTAACAATCTCACCTACATAATAATACTTTGGTTGACAGCTACAAGTGAACTTATAAAACAAATTATTATTTAATGTTGTTCTTCTTTTGATTAATTCTTTGGTTTTTAAAAGGCATTGTTATTGTTCAATGTAGGGGCAAGGACAATGTTACATGGTTTCAATAATTTTTGTATTTTTCAAAAATGATGGGAATGCAATCAAGTTTTCTATAAATTCAGTAGAGCATCGATTATCCGACCCCCGATTAACCGTCACTTTGGTTAACTGACCGTTCTAGTCGGCAAATTTTAAATGTCCGCTAGTGATGTGGCGCTACAATATTTGGCTATGTCTTGGCTATTTTAATATTATTTTTGTTAAATTTTTGTGTGTTTTAGCTGGCAACCATGGCTCGACCATTGAAGGGAGGACAGTATTTAAATGAGACTTAATTTTTTAATTATGAGTGGTTGTTTGTTTCATGAGCAATAAAATGATTTAAAAATAATTTTTAACGATACAATAGTGAAGATTATTATTTTTAAAAAAATTTTGTTAGGCTTAGCATCGATGAAAATTAACGCGAAGTTGGTTAATAGCGGTATACTAATATGCTAATTACATGGGATATACTATAGTAATAATGTATTTTTTTCATTCTTTTCGATTATCCGATTTTTCAGTTATCCGACCAACCTGAGTCTCCAATTGAGTTGGATAATCGATGCTCTACTGTAGTTGTGTTTTCCAGTGTTGTTATTAAAAAACCATTTATTGATTATTCTATTATTATATCATTGGTTTTTATCATGCATAGTTCAGCTAGTTTTGAACCAATGCAATTGCCCATAAAGATACGTTCTATTTATATAAAAAACATTGCCATTACATAATAAATGATTATAATCTAAAACACATTCGAGTAAAGGTCTATGTTTAGTAAAAATAAATCAATTTTCTTCATGAGTAGTCAATATTTCTTTAAGATTCAAATTTGTGTGCAACATTATAGAATGCATTGTTTATTGGCCAATTTAATGTTTTTGGACTTTACTTGGAATGTGTTTAAAGAGGTATCTAATTAGAGTTAGTTATGATAACTCTGTACGCATATTACAACAATTAAAAATATCAAGATGATCCAGAATTTGTTTTACAATTGCTGCACAAAAATTTGAATTCTACAGAGATATTGTAATTATACTCATATAGAAATTAAGTGCTAAGTTTTCATTGAATATCATATTCTTGAATTTTCTTGTATAATTTTGTTTTCCATAAAATACACGTTATTAATATCCTACATTTAAGAACTTTTCATAGATTTAGCATAATTGTTTCCCATATTGTATAATTACAGCTTTTTAATTGTCATTTTTTTCAGAGGCAATAAGTTGTTTTCTAAAAGCCATTGAAATCTATACTGATATGGTAACTATAATTAATTTTTATTATTTTAGAAATTTGATTATGATAATAATTTATTATTATTTTTTAAATATGCTATTGTTTATTAAAAATTATTTAAGGGGAGATTTACAATTGCTGCCAAGCATCACAATACTATTGCTGAAATATATGAATTGGATTTATCTGATATTGAAAAGGTATATTTATATACTTAATTGTTTGTTTATTAAAATTCACTGTGACAAAAAAACTGAAAAAATATATTTAAAAATACTGTTTTAGTTTGAAAAATTTTAAATGTTGTTTAAACAATATTTGATTTCCACTTACTTAATTAAACCTAATCAGAATTTTGTTAATAAATGACATCCAGCATCTCCTGTCCCCCAGCATCTCCTGTCCATTTTTAAACCAGCCAAACCAATCATAAACTGCAGATTTCTTTAGTGTCTTAGCACCATAAACTTGTTGCAGGTCAAACAGCATCTCTGCAGCAGTTTTCCTCAATTTGCACATGAATTTGATATTTGCATGCTGCTCAAACTGGGACATTGCACCGTATGATAAGCAGTCATGCCCAAAAAGACGGTTGATGGATGTCTATTTGCAGTGTGATAATGCTTGTGCAAGTTTAGACTTGCACAAGCATTATCACACTGCAAATAGACATGCTGAGCTTCCCGCCATAGCAATGCATAACCTTATCTTATATCGTGTTTTCTAACTGTGGGTAAATTCTGGGAACTTTTTGACTGCCCCTTGTATGTAAACCTCTATATCACCCATCAGGATAAATAGTACAGTTACAAACTAATGGGATTTTGAACTATCTGAGTTTGAATTAACAAGGATTTCCTGTATATTGTGAGGGTTGCCTTACTCCACATTTTCATTCTCTGCCAGTAATTGCTAGAGGAAGCAAAGCTTATTATAAATTATAACAAGAGATTATAGATTGAATTACAGAAGGAAAGCATGCACAAGCATCAATAGTTGGATATAATAAATAAATGCAGTATTTACAAAATGCACTTCACCAGCACAATAAATTTGATATTTCAACAGTGAATAATGCCCAGTTTAGAGTTAAGAAAAATAAATTGGTCAAATTCACTGTTAATGGCCATTTTATAGATAGGTATAATGTCTTATATTAGTGTTTTTGTAGAATCTAAACACACATTTTTGTGTGAATGAAGAAAAATCAAGTTTTACACTCATACTGCATGACAAATTCACAAAGTTTACTAGTGGTCAAATTGACTTTTTTGACTATTCTAATGTTAAACAGTTGTTTGAATATATTCTGATAATATAATCTTGTCATTTATAATATTTATTATTTTTAGGCTATTTGTCATTATGAACAGGCTGCAGATTATTTTCGTGGAGAAGAATCTAATAGGTAACTAATTATTACATTTGTTTTTACTAATTCAGTATTAATATTGTATAATCTTACCATTATCTAAATATCTTAAAGTGTATATATATATATATTTTTTTTTATTATTACATATAAATAAACGTAGTTAAAAAGTATATTTTTTTTATTTTTTGGGGTCTCCAGAACGAATTAATGAAATTCCCGTAAAAACCTATGGTAAATTGATAATCGGTTAACAAACAATTCGGATAGTGAACAAAGTCTTGGAACGGATTATGTTTGTTAACCGATCACCCACTGTATATGTATTTTCTTTAATTTTTTTAATGCAAATGATGATGTGACTTGATGTAATAAATTACTTTTAACACACAGTTTTTTAGTTATCATGACTATTTGTGACAATGAGGTTCAACTATACTTGTTTTATTTTCAAACTGAATATTGTTTATAGCATTCATTACAAATTCAGTTTTAAAATTAATAAAATTATTAAATCTTTAAAATTGATGTTTTATTAATTTAATTTTATTGTTGAAATATTAAATTTTATATTTTATTTAACAGCACGCTCTTAATAAATATAAGGAGATGTGCCCTTCATTTATTGATTCCAGAGAATGCAAATTGTTAACGGTATAAAAATATTCTCATTACATACATAGTTTTTTACTAAAGTAATGTGTAAATTAAAATTCTATTTTTAAAATTTTATTAGACACTCATACAGAAATTGGAAGAACAAGATCTAGATGGATTTACAGATGCAGTGAAAGATTATGATTCAATATCCAGATTGGATCAGTGGTATACCACTATACTCTTGCGGATAAAAAAGTCAATGCAAGAAACACCAGATCTTCGTTGAAAATTAAAGGTATCTTAAAATAGTGAGATGCAATTTTATATATGAATGACTTTTCTTGAAAAAAAAAAAAAATACACATTTATCTAAATATAAATGATCTAAAGAAATTCTTTTACAAAAGAAAAGCATGTACACATACATTTATATACGATATATATTTGTCTAAAGATTGAAATTTGAAGGAAAAAATTGATTATGTATATTTCTGCATGACAAATTCACAAAGTTTACTAGTGGTCAAATTGACTTTTTTGACTATTCTAATGTTAAACAGTTGTTTGAATATATTCTGATAATATAATCTTGTCANACTGTGACAAAAAAAACTGAAAAAATATATTTAAAAATACTGTTTTAGTTTGAAAAATTTTAAATGTTGTTTAAACAATATTTGATTTCCACTTACTTAATTAAACCTAATCAGAATTTTGTTAATAAATGACATCCAGCATCTCCTGTCCCCCAGCATCTCCTGTCCATTTTTAAACCAGCCAAACCAATCATAAACTGCAGATTTCTTTAGTGTCTTAGCACCATAAACTTGTTGCAGGTCAAACAGCATCTCTGCAGCAGTTTTCCTCAATTTGCACATGAATTTGATATTTGCATGCTGCTCAAACTGGGACATTGCACCGTATGATAAGCAGTCATGCCCAAAAAGACGGTTGATGGATGTCTATTTGCAGTGTGATAATGCTTGTGCAAGTTTAGACTTGCACAAGCATTATCACACTGCAAATAGACATGCTGAGCTTCCCGCCATAGCAATGCATAACCTTATCTTATATCGTGTTTTCTAACTGTGGGTAAATTCTGGGAACTTTTTGACTGCCCCTTGTATGTAAACCTCTATATCACCCATCAGGATAAATAGTACAGTTACAAACTAATGGGATTTTGAACTATCTGAGTTTGAATTAACAAGGATTTCCTGTATATTGTGAGGGTTGCCTTACTCCACATTTTCATTCTCTGCCAGTAATTGCTAGAGGAAGCAAAGCTTATTATAAATTATAACAAGAGATTATTATAGATTGAATTACAGAAGGAAAGCATGCACAAGCATCAATAGTTGGATATAATAAATGCAGTATTTACAAAATGCACTTCACCAGCACAATAAATTTGATATTTCAACAGTGAATAATGCCCAGTTTAGAGTTAAGAAAAATAAATTGGTCAAATTCACTGTTAATGGCCATTTTATAGATAGGTATAATGTCTTATATTAGTGTTTTTGTAGAATCTAAACACACATTTTTGTGTGAATGAAGAAAAATCAAGTTTTACACTCATACTGCATGACAAATTCACAAAGTTTACTAGTGGTCAAATTGACTTTTTTGACTATTCTAATGTTAAACAGTTGTTTGAATATATTCTGATAATATAATCTTGTCATTTATAATATTTATTATTTTTAGGCTATTTGTCATTATGAACAGGCTGCAGATTATTTTCGTGGAGAAGAATCTAATAGGTAACTAATTATTACATTTGTTTTTACTAATTCAGTATTAATATTGTATAATCTTACCATTATCTAAATATCTTAAAGTGTATATATATATATAAAAGCCAAAAAATATATAACAATAGTTTTATTATGAGAGTAGACAATGAATTACAAAACAATTACTTTGAAATAAATGACCCTTTGCTGTTGTATGTTTCTGCCATGGTAATACCGTGATTGAAAGCAGTTCTGAAATTCATTTTTTTTTTTTTTGGACAACACTCGATAGTTTTAAAAGCTTACATAGTTGTTATTGTTTTCTGAATGTACACTAACATTCTGATTTTTGTAAAATATTTTTAAAATGAGGTTAAATATTGAGGTTTGCACAATTACCTCTTCCAATGTGAATAACTACATTATTTGTAAATAAATAGATATTCAGATCCTTTTGTGAATAAGCTTTACAAAAAGTTATCTTTTTATCAGTTGAGAAACATTTTCTGTACAGCCCTTCATGTTTTTCTTCTATCCATTTCTTTAATAGTGCTTTTAATGACAACAACTCCCTCCCCGTAGTCTCAATACTTAGACACACAAATATAGGCCTAACTACAGGAATAATTTGTATCTGTTGAAGTCATGTAATATTGTTTTTTATAATTAACATTAATAGAATTTTTTTTAACCAATCATAGCATGAAATTTAAGATTTTGAGTGTTTATTTTTGAAATTAGTGAACAAAAGCAAAAATACTCAAAATTAGCCAATTTTAGACATTGAAAGTGTTTTGAAAAACCCTTGCCTTGTGTTTGATGTTTCTATGTTATGCATTAAACTGGGAGAAAAGGTTTGGCTCAAAAATCCAAATCCTACTTATGAATTAAATAACTGATTCTATTGTCATTTACAGGAAGCACTAATGCCACTTAATGAGTAAAGTAGGAACATTGAAAAGAGGGATTGTTTAACTGTTGATGCTATTCAAATAACAGTACAGTAGAGCATCGATTATCCGATCCCCGATCAACCATTACATTGGTTAACCAACTGTTCTAGTCGGCAGATTTAAAATATCCGCTAGTGATGTGGCGCTACAATATTTGGCTATCGGGACATTCCAATTTTCAACACTGACACAGCACTGATCTTAACGTTCATTAAAAATCGTTCCTTTTTTCAATGTTGAAGTGGCGTTGTTGTCAGCGCTGTCTCAACACACACAGCACTCAACAGACATGTTGACTGCTAATTTCCAATGAATTGTGGGTAATTGGTGCGACATTTGAATGGAATCCATCTTGCTGAGAATGGAATTATGGAAACTAAGCACTTCGTACTCGAGTTGGAACGTCAAATTGTTGACTTCAACACTCAACACTCACGTTGAAAATCGGATTGTCCCGTATGTCTTGGCTACTTTAATATTATTTTTGTTAAATTTTTGCGTGTTTCAGCTGGCAACACTGGCTCAACCATTGAAGGGAGGCCAGTATTTAAATGAGACTTAATTTTTTAATTATGAGTGGTTGTTTGTTTCATGAGCAATAAAATAATTTAAAAATAATTTTTAACGATACAATAGTGATGATTATTATTTTTAAAAAAATTTTGTTAGGCTTAACATCGATGAAAATTCAACGTGAAGTAGATTAAGAGCGATTTACTAATTACATGGGATGTACAGTACTAATATACTATACTAATAATGTATTTTTTCATACTTTTTGGTTATTCTTTTTTCAGTTATCCGACCAATCCCAGTCCCCAATTGAGTCGGATAATCAATGCTCTACTGTATTTTGTTGAAGTTAAAATTTGCTTGTTTATGAAATTGTGGATAGTACTTTTGAAGACTGTACTAAAGATAAGAAAAAATATTATAATGTGTAAGGTTTTTTGTAGTTACCGTAACATATAAGCCTAGAAAATTATGATATTTACTGAAGCAAGCATGTGATGCATACCATAATTCTTTACAAAGTAAAGCCATCTGTTGTCATTGGTGTTCTTATTTTGGCCATATTTTTTATTTAATTATTTTAAGTTTTCTGCCACAGATTTTGCATATTGCTGTTTCACAAATTACATTCATAATTTTTACTTATCTTAATAAGTTATTAATGGCTGCCTGATGCAAATGAATGTTGTGGGCAGCCAATGTAGTAATCCATAAGTTTATTAGTCTTTCATTTACTAAAACTACAATAGAGAATTGAATTACACATTTATATCCTAGATAACCTACACTTAAATGCTTAGATAATTGGTCACAAATGGATATAACAAATTTTACTTTTTATCTGTTCTGGCAAGAAAATGGGTATAAATGGTTTATCAATTTTCATTTGTGGTCTCTTATTAAGCTAAAGGCTTGGTTTGCTATTTAGGTACCTATCTAATTGCCTGGTTTAGTAAAGATTAAGTAGGTATTTACTTAACTTTTGTGGACTCAACTGAATTATTTTCCAGTGAACTCACTTTGGAGCATAAATTATCCAAAATTTGCATTTGTTTAAAATTGGTTTATTAATGGGATATAAAATCAATAAATTATTTCATTTCAAAGAAGAAACATATTTTTCTTCATTACAGTACAAATTTTTCAAATTGAGTAAAAGTAAACGTGAATTAAACAATTTTGAAAATTGTAATGTAAGGAAAGGAAACATCACTTTGGTGAAAAAACAAAAGTGATAAACATTCTTAAAATATGACTTATTTATTGAAATTTTTTTGAATTATTACTGATAATGACTAACTAAATCTTGTACTTAATTCATCTAATAAAATGTTTTTGAGTCATATATTGCATAATGATATGCAAAGGGTAACATAAGAACTCATTTTGGGTCAAAACAAACATGAACATGTTTACATGTAGTATCTAGTACTGAGATGATAGTAGCACTCATCCCGAATAGATTACAAAAAAACTCCTCAGAAAAATAGGAAATAAAAATTGTTTTAATTGAAAACGCATCGGGTCTATAGAGACCAGATACAAGTCTGTTAGGATTAATCTTAACCAGCTCCTCAAATCTCCAAAAATAAAAGGTATATATTTAATTGTTAAGTAACTTTACTAGCATGATGAAGTATAAAAAATTCATGTAAAACTGATCCTATTGTAATAAATTTTGTTAATTACTGTTAATTAGTATGAGACATACTGTCTTACAAAGAAACACAAGTACAGTGGAACTCCGGTTAATGAACGTAATCCGTTCCACAAGTCCGTTCATTAACCAAAGCAATTTTTCCCATAGAAATTAATGCAAATACAGTTAATCCGTTTTAGCCGTCAGTATTTTTGTAATTTTATTTTTAAAATGGGTTTTTTTTAATGAAAATATAGGAAAACGTGCTCATAAACAGTCGATCTAGGTTAAATTTTCGGAAAAGGGGAAAGATTTGACGGGTATAAAAACATCACATACAATTGTTAAAGTTCTAAAATGACAGATAGCAGAAACAATAAGCTAAATTATGAGCGAAAAGCTTATAGGTTCAACAATCTCTGATCAGAGTTGACGAACAGGTGTCAAATAAACGCCTCGGAACAAATCTTTCTCGTGACCTGATCTGATTTCAGTTTTCACCTGGAGACAAAGAAGAAAACAATTGTGAAGCAAGGAATGTGATGCAGGACTAATCGTAAGATGAGATTCAAGGAAGAAATATTATAAAAACACTGAATATCAAGGTCAAAACGCAGTTTTCCTAAAAATTCTATGGCGATTAATCTGTGTCGTCTTCATCTGGATTAAGCCTGAAGTCGTGCCCGCTAAAATTTGTGTTGTGTCTCGCAGACCGCTCCAGTTGTTGCAGCTCTGTCACCTATCATCTCTTCTGTGACCAAGCGAACCTATCTCTTCCGCTCTGGGGCTACAACTGATCAGCTTGCACTATCATAGGACCAGCGATACGCCACTCCTCAGTGCCGAGAGAAAATACTGTAGATAAGCCATTTCCAACTACCTCAAATATGTAAGCATCTTCCCATTCTAATAAATGATTTTCACTGTAAAATACTTGTCATCTTTGTCTCCTCCGCCACCACCAATGTACGAATGGACCCTAGACCATCACCGACACATGATTAACTGATTTGACATGAAAGTTGGCAAGCTTACAGATTTGACACAAAAAGCTGTTAAGTTCATTATCCGAATTTTGTTCGTTATCCAAGACAAAATTTTTGCAAAATAAAAGTTCATTAACCGATTTGGTCGTTAACCAGGACGTTCATTAACCGGGGTTCCACTGTATTATACTCAAATTCAAATGTCATTCTAGATATGTATGTCTTTTCAAGTTTGGATAAAGAAATTGCTGTCGTCAAAATAACTAAGGATGTGGAATTTATTGAAAAGTTAACCAACTTGTTTCACACATTTAGCTTTCAATATTACCTTTTTCAAAAAAATATAAAAACTTGTTTGAATAAAAGTAACATTCCTTTTTAAAAAGCTGGAAGTAGGTTTTTAAATTACTAAAATTTTTAAATAAATAATAACAAAAATAGAAATAAAACTAAAGCACTGTAATATCTTTTTCAAAGTGTCTTTTATACAGTAGGACAAATAAGTCATAATGTAAAACTAAGAAACTTTTTATTCAACTGCTGAGAAGATAATCATCTTGTTATACTTTATTTCCAATCTTTAACTTCAAAACTCATACTTTTCTTAATTTGCTTTCTACCAGAAACTTGTAAAAGAGAATTTTCTGTTCATTATAATAATCTCCCTATTTATATTTGCACTGGAGCACAGAGCAATATTGAACCATTGTTTAATATAAAGTTTAAAAAATATCCACCTGCATTATCCTCTATTCATAGCCATATTGTTTACATTTTACTAGTGCCACTGCATTTTGTGGTGGCACCTGTGGGAGAAGATGCGTTATAACCTTGGAGAAAGGGTAACTTTTATTGTTTAATTAAAAGGGAAATTTTAAATCAATTTCTGTGTTAAATGATTATCACAAGTTTTTGTTAAAGTAGCTTGTATTTCTGTTTATAATTAAAGATTAATTCATTATAAATTCCAATTTTAAGATTTCAGAGTATAAATTATATAAAATTTCTTTGTTTACTTAAGACCCTAAGCATAACAGCATAAAATATTTTGTGATAATTTAAGTATTTTGTATCTTTAAAGTTTATGAAAATTTTTAAAATGATTACAGTTCTGCAAATAAGTGTTTATTAAATGTGGCTAAGTATGCTGCTCAATTAGAACAGTATGAAAAGGCTATTGAAATTTATGAACAGGTAATTTTAAAATAATTTACAATTTTATGTTTATCAAATATGTATGTATATGTATATTTTTGAATTTTCAGGTTGCCAGCAGTTCACTAGAAAGTCCATTATTGAAATACAGTGCAAAAGAGTATTTATTTCGTGCCTGCTTATGTCATTTGTGTGTTGATTTATTAAATGCACAGGTATTATTTAAAATTATTTGAAATTTTTAATTAATGTTTACCTGAACTAATTGTTAACTGTAATTAAATTCCCGAGCAAGTTATTACATGATAAACTAACTTATAAGTCATTACCTATTAACTTATTTTTACAATAATAATAATCTCTAATTTGGAGCAAAGTCATTACAATCTATTGAATTAGAAACAATGTCTTAACATAATCTGCATCAAATTGATTGCAAAATATTATAAAATATATAAAATATTCTAAATAGGATTTTTTTATAAATAACATATGGGATGATTTACATTTTGAAAATTTTTATTTCAAAATGTAAGTGTACAAACTAATAATAAATTTTTAGTATACTGTTTACTCTACTTAATTCTAATCTAAATCTTAAATTATCTTATGTTTTAAAATGAATTGGAATAAAATGTTAGAAATGCTGAACAGAATGGATGTCAAATTATAAAATGCAGAAATGGAAACAAAACTTGTAAAAAATACATTATTAACAATTACAGAATTCAGAAATTGTGCAAGTTAATCAGTTTTGCGCATACTTGAAAACAGGTGCAAATGGCAAAAATTGAAGTAGAAGTAGTAGTAGCAGTTAAATGTTTACACAGTTTGGCTAATAATAAATTTTTGTGAACCAAATACAGTGGGTGATTGGTTAAACAAACAAATCAGATAATGAACACTTTCGCGAAAGATTTTTATGATCAGACAATGAACACTTGATCAGGTAACGAACACTTTACTGAACAAACATAAAAAGAAGTGACGAAAATAGCAAATACTGATTGATTTTCCTTTGTCTTCAGATAACTTTTTGGAGCACGGGAGACATCAACCCGATATATACTGATCAGATAGTATTCCTTGAACTTTGAAATACTCGCTTATAATTCCAGCCTTTTATTTTTCTGACAGAAAAAATTATTTTATAGTATTCCTGAGACTGTCGGGCAGGCACTCATTAAGGTTTGCGTCGGTGTTTATTTTCAAAAGGTGAGAGTATAATAGCAAAGGTAGAGAGTGGGCAGAAGATGTCTGATGTTGCTGGGCAGTATGGCTTGAACAAATCTACAGTAGGTCACAGTTCAATCTTATCTAAGAAAGATACATTATAATTAAGAAAACTCAAGCAGCTAAAGGAATAACAAATATCACATCTGAGAAATAAAGAACATTGAAGAGCTCATAATGGAACCAAAACAGATCTGACAACAGAAGAACGCCAAGAACTCTTGAATGAAGAACACCGAGAAACTTGGCGAGATAAGTTTTATTATGAAAAAGAGGATTAATGCCGATATCTGCTATTAATTAAAGATCTTTTGAAGAAGTGGGAGATGTCAGATCAAACCAGGTTGAGGTTAATAGGGTTGGGGATCTCTACAATTACAATGCTATTAATTCTGAAAATCCTGAAGAAGAGAGAAAAGTAATCGACATTAGACAGATTATTTAACCCCCATAAACAAAAAAACATGACTAATAAAAATGCAAGTCTGTGTGTGTATATATATATATATTTTTTTTTATTATTACATATAAATAAACGTAGTTAAAAAGTATATTTTTTTTATTTTTTGGGGTCTCCAGAACGAATTAATGAAATTCCCGTAAAAACCTATGGTAAATTGATAATCGGTTAACAAACAATTCGGATAGTGAACAAAGTCTTGGAACGGATTATGTTTGTTAACCGATCACCCACTGTATATGTATTTTCTTTAATTTTTTTAATGCAAATGATGATGTGACTTGATGTAATAAATTACTTTTAACACACAGTTTTTTAGTTATCATGACTATTTGTGACAATGAGGTTCAACTATACTTGTTTTATTTTCAAACTGAATATTGTTTATAGCATTCATTACAAATTCAGTTTTAAAATTAATAAAATTATTAAATCTTTAAAATTGATGTTTTATTAATTTAATTTTATTGTTGAAATATTAAATTTTATATTTTATTTAACAGCACGCTCTTAATAAATATAAGGAGATGTGCCCTTCATTTATTGATTCCAGAGAATGCAAATTGTTAACGGTATAAAAATATTCTCATTACATACATAGTTTTTTACTAAAGTAATGTGTAAATTAAAATTCTATTTTTAAAATTTTATTAGACACTCATACAGAAATTGGAAGAACAAGATCTAGATGGATTTACAGATGCAGTGAAAGATTATGATTCAATATCCAGATTGGATCAGTGGTATACCACTATACTCTTGCGGATAAAAAAGTCAATGCAAGAAACACCAGATCTTCGTTGAAAATTAAAGGTATCTTAAAATAGTGAGATGCAATTTTATATATGAATGACTTTTCTTGAAAAAAAAAAAAAATACACATTTATCTAAATATAAATGATCTAAAGAAATTCTTTTACAAAAGAAAAGCATGTACACATACATTTATATACGATATATATTTGTCTAAAGATTGAAATTTGAAGGAAAAAATTGATTATGTATATTTATTTTTAAAATAATTTACAATTCTGATCAATGAATATTCAAATTATAATTTTCATGTAACTTAATATTTTTATAAATGATCATGATTTATGAAATAAGTTCTTCATTCTTTATTATAGATATTGGAATCAATGTCATTTTCAAATATTTTGTAATTTGCTGTATAGATAATTAAAAATTTTCAAATTCTTAAATAAATTATTTTTATCTGTTTTAAATATTTTTTATTATTATAAAATCAGAACAGATAAAAAGCATTAAATTGAAATTTTTAAAGAGAATATATAAGGTACAGTATCTGGATAATTTAAGTCTTAAATAACAAGTCAAGTAATATCAAAATAGTTCTCAAAAAATAAAATTATAAACTAAGTTTAAACTATAACAAAATTATGCTGAATATAATGAAAATATTTAAGAAAACTTGCTTAATATCAGACTTTTTGGCATTATATTTTATCCATTTAATATATGAACTAAGATAGTTAAAATTACATTGTGATGGAATTTTATGGATTAAAAAATATATTATTCTTGCTTAATTAATACTTATGATGCTTATTGTTATCTGACTAGGTTGTTGCATTAGAATCTGAATATTTTTGTTTTAGTCATCATTGATTTCATATTCTTAAAAATATTGATCATCATTATCAGTTGAAATATATGATTAATGCTAGAATGCATGTTCAATTAGCCATAATGTTTAAATACAATAATAATATTACATATAATAATGTATAAACATATCATCATCTATTTGGTAAATTAAATTTCATTGTTATTCTCAAAATTTATTGAATAATTCAGATAGATATAATAAGACATCTATTTTTAAAATTTAATCCAATCAAATGCTGCTTCCAGAAAAATACAAGGAATATGGAACATAATGTTTTGTTCAGTAAGAAGTATTTTTAAAGAATTTAAGAAAATAAAGTTTTAATTAAAACAATATATATAAACATTTCAGTTAAAGTGAATCTGGTGTGGCTTCTATCAGAAGAATGAATTCCAGTCTAAAAATCACAAATTTTACTATTCTGTTTTAGATTGTATTCAATCCTGCAAGTTAGGCTCTCTCTCTCTCTGTGTGTGTGTGTGTGTTTTTTTTTAAGATCTAATTAGTAATAATGGCATAAGTCTGAATGTCATTGTACCACCTTTTACTTCAGTTATTTTGAAGATTAATTTAATTATTATAGATCAAATGCAATTGCAGATGTATTGAATGTTTCATAGTAGAATCCTATTATAAACTTTTTATCTTGAGGAAAATGTCCAATAAGAAATGATGGTTTTGATAAAATAGATTATTTTCTTAATATGGCAATGAAAATATTTTGAAATATAAAAAAAATAAAATAAAGCATGAAGATTACATGAAGTGTGTGTTTAACACTTAAATGTTGAATAGCATTTACATAAAATAATAAGTGGTTTACCACCCATTTTCTAGAACTTTGACTCAAAGCCTTACCTGACCAAGATCTTGTAATAACAACAGCACATCATGGACCATTAAAATATGCCTTCTATGTTTCTAAACCACTAAGGAATGCCAGAAACTTGAATTAAACATATATTAAATGTGTGATTGATGTTTATGCATGATACCATTGCATTTGCATCTTTCTCAGATTCCATAGCTGGGTTAAATATAAGTAAAATGAGATAAAAGCCACACAAAACAGAAAAATCACTAACAACTGCAGTATAGACAATTTAAGTAAACACAAACTATATGCAAAACATTGACCTTTCAGTGAACTAATCTAGACTATAATTTTCAGTGAACTAATAGACTATAAGATTTTTTTGATGCATCCATGCCTAAAAAATCATAAGTGAGGCTTCCAACACTTGCTGAAGTCTCACTTGTAATCAGAGACTCAACAGTGTCAGGGTTTTCCATAAATTTGTGATCACTTACATGTCAAACAAATTTATATATACAAAAAAATAAATAAATGAAAGATTATTCTTTGAATAAAATCTATTACTAGATATTGTCTTAGTCCAGTGGTTGGCAACCCAAATGCATTGGCGTGCTACAAAACATGTAATTGAAAATACTGGACACTACACATCCCACTAAAATAAAACTTATTGCACATTGTATTTTATAGTTAAATAAAAATGTATTAGACTATATAAAAATATTATTAAAAAATTAGAATATTTAAACATTTGTGACTCCTTGTGGTTCAGTTTTAGAAGCTAACACATCAGTATTCAGTTCATAGTTTGAAATTTTTAATTTTATGCACAATTGGCGTGCCACTCAAAATTCTTTCACATGCCATCTAGTGGCATGCATGGCATAGGTTGCTGACTGCTGGTCTTAGTCTATCTTTCTGCCAATTTTTGGATCCCTCTACAGTATCATTCTGCTGGTTTTGATACCAAGAAAACTTGTCCCAGTTTCAATATTCTCCACTGAAACAAAGCATTGTTCTTTCAGGAAATGAGCTAATGATTGGAAAAAATGGAAATTTGGCAGTTTATGCTGGATTTGGCAGGACTTCAAAGCCGTTGAACTTTGTCAACATGACTCCGACTGTTCTTGAGTGTGTGTTGAGGCATTGTCATGTTTCATGTACTGTTTACAGCCTGGCCATCAGAAACAAGCTCCTAGTGTACTGGCCTCTCAAAATTCCACCAAATACACAGCATGAGCTTTTGATAGGTTGTCAAATGAGGCAGGTTCTGACCAGCTGTATTCATTGGTTTTCTTTATCAGGATTTTGGAAATAGATTCATTGTCTGCAGGTTACAATTTGGTTCCAGAATCATTTAATTTTTGGATTATGGGATAGTTGATTGCAAATGGTTGTTATCTTTTGTGGTTGCTGGTCCATAAGTTCACAAGGCACTTTGAGGCCATATGTTCCAAAAGCCAAGATGATGCAGGTAGCAGTTGATGGTGGATTTTGAAACACTGATTCTGGCTGGCAATCTGCTAGTATTGGTACTCATGTTGAACAGTTTGGAGCAGGACTTGATTGACCATAGCCAATAGTCTTCCAGTATGGGACTTATCTTCAATGCTAGTTTTGCAATTATTGAAATGATTAAACCATTTGATTATTGCTGATTTCAAGATTATCCCTTGACCTTCAATTTCACAAATTTTCTCAATTGCTGCTCTTGCACTATACCTTTGTTTCCAATAATGGGACTGAATAGTGCAAATTGCAGTTTTTCTTCAGACATTTTTGAAATTCAAAAAAGTTAAAATTGCAAGGCAATCACAAATTAAAATATACAAAAATATTCTCTGAAAAAGGTCTACAAAATGACACCAAGAATGTAATTTTTGGAAAAATTTAACATGGTTATAAATCTAAGCTGTTAAGTGACCACAAACTTATGGGATACCCAAGAATTAAAGTATGAAATCATACTAAAACTATTTATTTGAATTTAATTTTTGTGGATCATTAATTTTTTACAGAGCAAAATTGAGAAAAACATTTTTCTTGCTATAGTTTTTTCCTCATTAAATTTAATTCTTAAATGCTTAATATCTTTTGTATTTATTACAAACAAAAAAAATTTTTTTTAAATAATTTATTCAATTATTAGACCATAGCATTTTTTAAAGGGAAATTTTATTTCAGAATATTTTGTATATTGTATGGTCTTTTATATTTATCTGAATTTTCATTTGAAAATAGCTCAAAGAATTTAAATCATTAAATTGGTTTTTGTTCATAAGAGTGAAAGAAATTGTATCAAGTGTATACTGGTAGGTTTTTATAGAAAATTTATTATTATAGAATAAAATGGGTGGACATTCATTTGTTTATAGTTATAATTTATTCTGATATTTAAATATGTTTATGCTACCGTATTTTAAGTCAAATTTTGACTTAAATTTGGCTAATGTAAATGTAAGGAATTAGATACTGTCTGCCAAAAAACTTTAAATAGAAAGTATGTCATGTATTTCATACTGTGAAGGTTTCTTTTGACTTTGGTCAGTCTTCCAAGTCTCTTACGAAGATAAGAATAATGGTATGTGTGAACAAAACTGTAAAAAAATTCCATTGCTTGATGTCAATTAATATTTAACAGAAATCATAAATAAGTCAAGACAAAATACAATAAAAAGTCATATGAACATTAAACTCTCTTTTTTAAAAAAATTAATATATATATTTATTATCAACATTGTAACAATAAACTGATACAATGTTAGTGTTGAAATTTATATAAAATAAAATACGTGTAGTTATAGAGAATCATGTTGAAAAAATATAGCATAATTGCAGATTATTGTTCATTTCTTAAAAAATAGTGAGATGTGCTCATGCAATTTTTCCGTTTATAAATAATGATCACAATATATTATCGTTAAAATTTGTTTAAGTCTGTGCTTTTCCTTTAACACAATTATTACACCTCGTTTTCATACGTATTTTGTTCTTTGTTTTCACTGTAATGAAATAAAACATATAATTATAAATGAAATTTATTTTTAAAAATTAAAAAAAGAAAAAAGCTTACTTTTCAGGACCAATTATACATCGAACTGTAAAGGAAATTAACAAAATGGCCCAACATATAGTAGTAAGCCAACTTTCGGCCTTTCAAAAATATTTTAAAAATTAAATTAATAATTGAATTCAAGAAATTTTTATATTAATAGTAAACTTATGTTTTATATATAATGAATATTCAAATTAAATACTAAAGTAAATACTGATGATGACGCCAGTATCGGATTACCCACAGCTCGTGGGTAATTTGACCTTGCATGCCCAGGGGTTCCAAAATTAGGAAAAATTAAACAGTTTTACCATTGCAGTTATATATTATAATTTAGACACACTTCTATAGCTACAATTAGATATTGTTAGTTTATGATGTAAAATAATGTAGAACTGTCCCCAATCTT